AATGATCACCATCAAACTTCTTCTTCTTCTTCTTCTTCTGCTTTCGTACCCCATCGCGTGCCATACATAGCCTTCCACAAACAAATGAAACACCTGTTTCCATTTGACTCGTGTCTAGGCGACAAGCCATTTGCCTCATGTGAGGCCACGCTTGGCCTCCTTTGAGGCCACCTTTTTTTTTCAAAAATATATATATGTTAACGTTGTCCGTAAAGTCACGAAAACGTGTTTTTTGGCGGCGAGTTTGCTCGGATTTTCTGAACGCTTTTCAAACAACGCGTATGGCAAAACTCACAGCATACGGAAAACTCGGGGCATGTGAGTTTTCCACGAGTTTCACATCCGCCTCATCACAGCAGTGCCGGATCGACCCGTCGTGAAGGAAAACAAAGTGGGTCTTCCGTTCTTTTCATCAGCACAAACGAGTCCCAGACTGCACGGGCCGTAGCGATATGCGTCACACGCCCCTATCGCTTCATCTGCGCAGAGTCCATCAATGGATCAAAGCGCAACAGGATCTGCCAGAGATGCCGCCGAAGCAACCGCGAAAGATAGATAAGTAGAAGCTTCTAAAACGCGGTCCTCTCCAAACGGCCCCCTTCAGCCTGTCAAGAAGACGAAACACATCGCCCTTTCGACTGAGAACCTTTCTACAGTATCCTTGTGGAGAGCTACAATATTCGCTTCAGCGAGTATTCGCACAGGTGCATGTGATCCGTCGGGCGGCACAACGATGTACCAGACTTGCGTTTGTGGCGGGTAGGTACCTTGCTGGAGGTCAGTCCGCGAGATTGAATTTTTCAATCTCGCGTTTACTTTACGTCCAGCGAGTTTGTGGGCAAATGGAAAAAAAAAACAATGCGTTATTTTACGGGCAACGTTATTAAATCGAAACTTTATGAAGTCAGGTTGGACGCCTTTTTTTTTTTATGTAGGGGAAATTCCGGATTTCCCCTACACGAAAACAGATTATGGAAAAGTGGAAACACACGTGGCAACGTAGCAGGCGCTTATTGGATATGTGGCGTATGACAAGTTTCCAAATTTCCAAATTTCCGACTTTCTAAAACACCTAGAACGCCCCTGAGCAAGGCAACTTAGTTGATATGTCAGTATTTACATCGTTTCATCGTTTCATGAACAAAATACAAAGCCCATGAACAGGTTAGCTGTACAAAATCATGTCCTTGTACTCAAAGATATCCCCAGCTCTATACTGCTACAATCTGCCCCGCTGAAGAATCTTCTTTCTTCCCCATTCTTGCTACAGCACTCTTTGCATCGGCCCAGACTTGCTCTGCGTCAACCTGAAAAGCAAAATCTTCTTCTCCCATGAGAAGAGCAGCAATATCATCAATTTCAGTATCCTTGGGTTCTTCAACCTCCGTATTGATTCCACCTCCCTTGATGACTAGATCGTTAATGCGACTCTTCTGCTGGGCACGAATGAGCATCCTCTCTTCAATGGTCCCTCTCGAGATGAGTCGATATACAGTTACTGGCCGTTCTTGTCCAAGTCGATGTGCACGATCCATAGCTTGCAGATCCTGGGTTGGATTCCAATCGCTGTCGAAGAAGATGACTGTGTCGGCTGCTGTTAAATTTAGACCTACACCACCTGCACGAGTCGACAGTAAGAAAATAAATAGCTCTTCGTTCGTTTGCCATTCCGCCACAATATCCCTTCGATCGGCAAGAGCACTCTGGCCGTCCAAGCGAACAAACTTAAATGCCGTCTTTGCGCAGTAATCCTCCAGAATGTCCAAGACTCTAGTGAATTGAGAATATATCAAGCACTTGTGCCCTTCAGTCTTCAGTCGCCTGAGTAAAGGATCAAGCACAACCATCTTACCACAATCTGCGATAAGACGACCAGCCTCTGGCATTTGTATGGGTGCAGTCCCGATATGGGCACCATAGTTTGCGTCGAGATTTCTGAACACTTCATACAGGTCTCTACTGTCCCGTGGTTCGCCGTTCACTGGAAATCCTGGGTATGGCAAGTAGTCGTCCACACCAATGCTGCGAGACAAGGCTGCATCCCCTGGCAAATACAATTCAGGTGGTGGCGCCGCAACCGGCGGAATAAAGACATTTGAAATCTTTAACAACCGTGTTTCAAGCGCAACCATCTGCGCAGGGCAGTCTTGTCCTGGAAGAATAATACGGGAAGCTCTTCTTCGCAGTAAAACGGCTCTTGGTTCCATCAAAATTCTATGGCTTCGATGTCGGGGGTCACTGGACAGGCCCTGTTCCTCGGGCGCATCAGCATGCCCGAAATAAAGATCCTCGAATTTCAGGAGCTTATCGTCGAGATCCGGTCCAAACCGCTGCCATTCCCAGGGCATGATACCTTGTGCCAAGCATTCATTCCATTCCGAAACCGAAAGACCACCACAGAGTCGCATAATCGATAACCCTTGGCCGGTGCCAGAATTCATACTCTCCCAAAGCCTTTCTTTCACCCACGGTCCGTAGCGTTCTCGGGCAAGGTTTGCGTTGCCAAGAAAGGCGTTTTCCAAGTCGTGCATACAGCGGGGAGCGCGCATTACTATCTCAGGACGTGATACCAAGGTGATATCGACTGGGCTTGCAGTGGCATTACTCGCAATTAACACACTTGGCGGAGGGGCAACGTGTGTGGGGGGTGGGGCAATTTGGAACTGAACTGGAGATTGAGGAACTCGACGCTCAAACGTCTCCGGGTGGTTGCAGACCTTACGCAGCTGCATGACAAGGTTCATAAGTTTGCTGTTCCTGTCGCTGTTATCGTAACCATTCGACCCTGTTCCGACGAGGGCTCGTGTAAGTTCCTCAGGAGATATGTTTGCCTTAATACTGCCGTATAATTGCCTTTGTCGAGCAGAAAGAGAGCAAGGAAGTTGTATTTCAGTCTTTGGCGGCATTTCACTCTCAACGTCTCTCTTCACGCGACGCAGCATGAAAGGATCTAGAAGAGTCCTCAGTCTCGACAACGTGCTTGCATCGAGAATTTTGTTGTTGTTAGCGTGTCCCTCGATGTCTTTGGCAAACCAGTCGGCAAACTCTGCATGCGAATCGAAAATTGTTGGCATGATGAAATGGAGCAAGGACCATAACTCGGACAGCTTATTCTGGAGGGGCGTTCCTGTCAGAAGCAAGCGATTACGACAAGGGAACTGCAGCAGAGCCCTCCATCTTGAGGAATTACTGTTCTTAATAGCTTGGGCCTCGTCGAGAACCAAGTATTGCCACTTCACACGATTAAAGTACTTTTCATCCACAGTTAGAGTCTCATAACTCGTAATACAAACCTGGAATTCCGAGTCTCGTCGGTACATTCGCTTTTGACTCCAATACTTTCGAAGTTCATTCCTGTCATTTTTGTTGCCCCAGTACGGTAAAACCTTGAGCTCAGGGCAGAATCTTGTGACTTCTTGCTGCCAATTGTGCAGAGTTGCTTTGGGAGAAACAACCAAAAAAGGGCCCCAGTTGTCCTCCTTCTCACAAAGATAGGCCAAAAACGATATCGTTTGTAAAGTCTTCCCGAGTCCCATTTCATCTGCAAGAATACCGTTGATACCTTGATCATAGAGTGACACAAGCCATGCCAGTCCTCGCAATTGATAATCCTTCATCTTGCAATTGAGAATTGTCGGCTGTCGGACTGCCGCTAACTCTCGTTTCTCGCCACCCGCCAATTCGGCTTCTGGTACCGCCGTTCCATTTGGTGCTTCAGAGGCCTTTGCTGCGACATCGGTCTCTATCAAGTGCCGCTCCGCTTCGACGTCAAGCCCATTCATATCTCGCATTGCTTCTTTCGCCGCAGCCCGATTCGCCGCCGCCTTGACTGAAGCTTCCATGGCTACGTCCTTCTTCTTCTTAGTTTCTGAGTCAAATTGTTTGATGCGAGCTTGATGTTCGGCGACTAATTGAGCCGCTTTTGCCTGTGCAATTTTCTTGAGCTCCACCTCGTCTTCCGCTCCTGTGATCCCATTGATGTCTTTGACCTTTGTCGGTTTCTTGTCCTCTGCCTCTGAAGGCCGTACCTGGCCGTTGGCCTCAGCTGTGGCTTTGGTCTTGGCCTTCAAAAAGCTCGAAAATGCTTCCGATTGCCCCAGCAAGAACTTGAGTTTGTTCTTTTGGCGCTGAGCTTCTCGTTCATCAGCCTCCAATTTGCGATGTTCCTCTGCGCGTGCCATGAGCTTCTTTCGCTCCTCCTGGCGTTCTTTATCCTCCTTCTTCCAGTATGCCAAGACATCACGGAGAATTCGACGAGCTCGTCGATGAGCGTCGTCAATGACGCGGACACTTTTGAAAGCAGACTTGCGAGATTCCCTGACGCAAGCCGATGCGATGCCCTTTGCCAATCGTACTTGACCGGTAATAAAATTGGCTCTTGCCTTGACGACCTTGGCAATCTCACTACTCTTCACAGCCTGTCGGTATGCAATAGTGTAATCAATGGGTTTGGGTTTTGGAGGCTCAACCTCTCGTGCCTTCTTCAATGCTCTTTCCCCAGAAAGGCCGTTCGAAGCGGGGCGTTTGATGGAACCACCGAGAGTAGTGTCCGATTGATTGCTGCGTGCAGAACCCTTGCGACCCTTGACATGCTTCTTCTTAATAACGATGGATCCCAGCTCGCCTCCGATGCTTTTATCCTTCCTCCCCGCGCGAAACTTAGATTCGACCCTGTCCAGATCTCTCTCGAAGGCGGTAAGGACGCTGTGTTCATCGAACGGGACGGAGATGAACAAGGAAGCCCCGCAGACGTTTATCCTTGAAAAGTCATGCGGGTCGTCGTGCTTGACCCAGGCCGTGGGCATTCCCCTGGCGGCGAGCTGCGGATCGAGACAGGCGCGCTGCAAGGCGCCGGCGTGGGAAATCGCGTTGGGGAATATGGACGAGCGGCAGGCATCGGTGCGGGGGAGCGCCGGCGGGGCGATGTCGAACTCGAGCCCGGCCGGCGGGCCGTCGTCGGACAGCGGGGGGTCATCGTCGCGAAGGTCGTCGTGCCACGTCGAGTCCTGCAGCTTGCTCATAGCGGGTGCTGTGCGAGACGCGGCGCCCCTCGGCGGCGTTCGGCGTCCGCGGGCGTGGTGCAATGGGGGGGAGGTGTGGCGGCGGCCGGATGGTGGGCGGACGGTGGGCGGAGGCTGGATGGTGCGCGGAGAGGGGTGAGGGCGGACGGTTCAGGAGGTCATTCAGGTTGAGTTTGCGTGATTGTTGCCGGCTGCGGTGAGTCGGGCAGGGGACGAAGGCTTTGCTCGGAGTGGAAGGCTGGGCGGGGCGGCTGGAAGATCGGGTGCTGACTTTATCATTTTTTAGGAGAGCGGCGAGGACGACAGGTCGCCCGCGCAAAGGCGGCGGCACGCGCGATTGCCCGACGGGGCGGGGAGGGGTCTTCGCTTGCCGCCCGCCCGTATCTGTCTTCCAAGCCACTCCCACGCTTACAGCGAAACAACCCTCATTACCGCCTGACAGTTACACGTGTCGAACAATGATCTAATCAAAAGTAGACACGTGTCCCTCACCACCAAATGCAGAACACTGTGCATCCGCCTTTTCCCACGGACCTCTGGGCGCTCCCGGCATGTCCACGAAGGACACGTGGAAAAATGTTGCAGATATTCTAACACACAAACCGCACCGTGTGATCAACTTCTACCAAGGGTATCGCCATTCGGCGATCGTTTTTTCCTTGCCCTTCCAACCCGCACCCGCATCACCACGTGCCTTCCGAACGGCGTTTACGGCATGTAGCATGCACATGTAACCTTCATGCACTTGCCGCCCACTCTTCCCTGCACCGACCCCTTCTCGTATCCCTCCACCACCCGTCTCCGTCTCCGTTTCCCGCAACCACTAGTCCCTCCCGGCCCGCGCTCCCCTCTCGCCCCCCCCCTCTCGCCCCCCTCCCGCCCCGGCGACAAAGACAAGACCATGAACACCAAGCAATCGTTCACAATCGGCTGGATCGCCTACACGGCCGCCTTCGGCATCGGCGGCGGGCTGGGCATTTACAAGTACTGGTATGCGCCAGGCGGTCGCAAGGAGCGTGAAGCGGCGGCGGACCTGCGTCGCGCGGAGGAAGCCGCTCGCGAGGCGGAGGAGGAGCAGCGCATTCGCGAGGAGCGAAGAAGAGCCAAAGAGTCCCCCACCGCCCCGGCCGGTCAGACTTGACCCTTCTCTCCTCACCGCAATCGCCTTGTCGATGAAAACAAAAAATTTACAAACGCGTATCAGCAAACAACGCTCCTTCCCCCTTCGGCCGTTACCGTCCCAAGAGACGACATAGTAAACAGCAAACAGGCGGAGCCCTACTTCTACAATGTAATAATATACCATCAAGGGCCGTCGGTCGTTCTGCCGTTGAGGCGATGCACGTTGGACATCGACCCTGCCCGTCGCGCCCCGAAACCGCCTGCTCGCGCTGCCGACCCGGACGCCAGCCCACCGCGGAGGTTTGCGAGCTGCGAAACCCTTTGCGCTGGTCGCAGCTGCGTTTGAGCCCGTGGTAATCGACCGCCGCGTACGGGCTTTTTGCCGCTCACACCCGTGGCCTTGCCTTCCACTCGAGTACCAAACGCATAGCTAACCTCCTTCGAGGGAGTTGCTGCCACTCGACCCGATGGCCGGTTGGCTACCCGAGGAACCATTGACTGACTCCGAGGCAACTTGCTGTCCGCCCTTCGATCCACTGTCCGTCGAGCGGCGCTCATAGGCGTTGCAGGCGGTCTCATTGCTGCTTCTTCGCTCGCCCCACCAGCGGCCGCACTTGTGTCAGTCTTGGGCTCATCGAACCGCACTTGTCGTGACCGACCGGCAAAAGTCGCATTCCGGGGAAGCTTTGATGCCTGACCTCGCTCTATCTTTCGCGTCACCGTCGGTGTGCTCATCGGGCGCGGGAATCGGTTGGTTGGTGTCGAATTTGCTCTCTCCATAGGAGGCTTCGATGTCTGTTGCTTTGCCATGTCCGCAATTTTCTTATCTCTGGACTTCAGGAGTGCTGTCAGTCTGCTAATTTCATCATCCTTGGCACTGGCGACATCCCGCACCTTTAGTTTTGCGGCCCTGAGTTCATTTTGGTCTCTCTCATGCAGAGCTTTCAATTCGCGCAGCTCTTGCGCAGAACGGACGTATCCTTCACGACCCGCGTCTTCTTTGCGACTTTGGTCCTCGAGCTTTGCTTTTGTTCGCTTCAACTCCAGTTCCAGAGAATGGGTGCGTTGTTTCGATTCGGAGGCTACGTCGTTTCTTCGCTGTACTTCCCGCTGTAGTTCTGCATTCTTCGACTTCACTTCTCGCAGTTCAGTTTCCTTTGTTTGCAATGACGCCAACGCTCGAGTCTCCTCCGTTTTTTCCGTGTGCTTGCGAGCTGATCCCAGCTCCACCTTTGCCACTCGTTGCGCAAACTGCAAGCTTGATAGCGTCTCCGAGGAATCAGAGTCGTCGGCAGACACATTCACAAACATCAGAGTCTTCGAGTCTCCACCGAGGGCATCCTGAAGGAGATACGTTAGCTTGGAATTTCTATACGGAACGTGGTTGTTATGTGAAAGCAGTGACATAAATACATCACCCAAAGTTGCCAGTGACTTGTTGATATGCTGCGCTTCCTTCAGTCTCTCTCCGGAAACATTTGACCGTCCAACACGCTCCGACCCGGCGAGGTCGACGAGATGAAGTAGGCCTGAAGACTTCACGCCGGAAGAGTAGTCTTCACATGTCACCATCACCTTTAAAATCAAGTGCGACCGGGAACTGTGTTCATTCATGTTTGTCTTCCCTTGTCTTCGGTTTTGGCTGCCGCGCTCCATGAGGCCCCAGACGGCTTCAACTGAATCGACAGTAATCTCGGTTAGGTTTGGTACATGTACAGCATTGGGAGACTGCGAGCTCGGGTCTTTGCGAATGTCAAGCTTTGGAGGCGTCGACTTGTTGTTACCACGAATGAGATCTCTCAGATTCTCGTTGTAAATCTCAACCATGGAAACGGAAATGTTTACCTCTTGAAACTCCGATCTCTGGTTCGCAATGTCGAACAAGTCCACGAGCGCACGATAGTTGACGCCTCTGTCTTCCTCGGGACCACTCATCGTGTGTGTCTTGCCTGAACCTGTCTGCCCATATGCGAAAACGCAGACGTTATATCCGTCAAGGACACTAGCAACAACTCCAGCTGTTTCGTCGTACACAGCCTTTTGATCAGCTACCGGAGGAAACACATGGTCAAATTCAAAGCACTTTGGACCGATTTGAATTCTCGAGTTCTCGTCGTCAGCTGCGGCGTCCGGAAACGACACTACAACTTTGGCGGGCAGCCCAGACGTTAGTGTGGCTTCCTTGAGAGGGCGCACGCGACAGAAGACACGAATATTTCCTCGGAGCTCTTGAATCGTGTTAAACAATTTCCGTCTCGCCTTGAATTCCTTTTTCCATCGAGTCTCAAGCTGATCTCTCTCCGCAATCAGCTGGTCACTAGCAGCCTTGTAGGCTTCCTGTCCGTCCATGACCAGCTTGACGAGCTCCGCATGTTGAGTACCATATTCTTCGCATCGAACGGACATCTCCCTTCGAAGGACATCCAGCTCTTCCTTGACTGCCTCATACGTCGCCTTGACGTCATTATAGAGAGTTTCTTTTTGTTTCCGCTGTTCCTCCAGCAGTTGCACCTCTTCCTTCAACCGCATCAATTCCCCCCGCAGCGGTGCCTGGCGAGCGCTGTGTGACAGAGGAAGAACACCGCGCTCTTGGCGCTCTTGCATGAAGGACTCCTCCTCATCCGCCATTCCATCGGAGGACACAGGGCTGGACTTCCCTTGGCTTTTCTCCGCAGACAAAAGCAGATCGGTCGCATCGACCTCGCGGCTATTCCTCTTCTTCAGATAGGTTACCTCTGGCTTTCTCCTGAGTAGACGTTGGGCGCTCTTAAACAGTTGGCCATCAGACTCCTCAAGCGCCTCCTTCCAATCACGACGCGCCGCTTCTTCCTCGCGCTCTATCTGCTCCCTCGGTGAGAGGCGCGGGGGCAATATCTCAGAAACGCCTCGACTAGAGCGCATATGCGTGTCTCCTGGATGAGTTGGTGCGACTTGCGAGGGCGAGGACAGAACAGCAACTCTATCCTCATCACTCTCGACGGCCTCTCTCTCGTCGACGAGGTCCGACTGGAAGCTCTGCTCCTCAGAGGCGTTATCCAAGTCGGAGTGGAAATTTCGTGGCACCCCTTCCACGGGCGAGGACGAACGGGTGCTTTGCGGGCCGAGAATGCCGGCCCTCAAAATGGCGGCGCCGCTGGGCGTGGGGACGGGCGCGTGGTCCTTGAATGCACGCACACAGCGCGCATACGACGGGCGCGACGAGGACGTGAAGCCGAAGCGATTGTGGCCGAAGGTGTCGCGGATATGAACGCGGCCGCCCTCCGTGATGCGGCCCAGGCTGTCTGGGGCGCTGAGCTTGAGGCGGCGCAGGCGGTCCGGACACTCCAGATGGCGCAGGCCGTCCTCGCCGGTCTCCGTGACGATCATATAAGTGTACTGAATGTCATCAAAGTCATCATCAATCTCTAGCTCGAGGCGCCACTCCCCCCTCCAAGTGCCATCTCCGCCCGTGTGCATGGTCATGCGCAGGGCGCTGGTCGGATTCCAGGCGCCGAGCGCGGGGATCTCGCCCATGAGATACACGTGCGAGCTATTCGCGGTGTGCTTCTGCAGCTGAAAGCAGACGCGCTTCGTGCCCGTGGCGGCGACATTTGACAGCGGGTCCCCCTGGGCGTCCGGGCCAAAGACGCTGCGGGCGTCGGCAAAGCGGTGGGCTAGCGGGCCGTGCTCTCGCGTACGGTGGTCGTCGCGGTCGGGGTCTCGCGCAGGGGCCGACAAGCGTTTCGACGCGCGGCGACTTGCGCGTTGGCCTGCGCCAATCTCCGCGAGCGGGCGCAGCTCGACGACATTGCCCATCTCCCGACTGAGCCACCTCTTGCACAAGAAAGTCCAGGTCCTCTGCAGGCGGTCATCGATAACGAGGACGCGGTCGAGCTTCCACGCGGCCGCCTGGCTGTCCGCGGGGTCATGGCGCACGATGATCTTGACGATGTTACCGACGCTAGTGGCGCGGAAGCGGCACTCTCGGATGGAGCCCTTCGGAAACTCCGGGCGGGCCGAGACGGGCGGGTGATGGCCCGGGGCAGCGTAGCGCATCGAGGTCTGGATGAGGCCTGCGGACGCGGTGAGGTGGATGTAGTCGGTGGCGTACGAGTTGCCGACGAGCATGAGGTAGACGTCGCGGTCCGTGCCGGCCCACTTGGTGTCGGCGGTGCTGAGGTGGACGGTGTAGGCCGTGGGGGGCGCGTCGGCGGGGCGCGGGAGGGTCGGCGGCATGGCGGCTAGGTTCGGCGCGCGCGGGGGCGACGGCACGACCGCGGGCGGCGACTCGACGCCGGCCATGGCGTGGAACAGGTCAAGTCTCTCCTGCACGAAGCCGGGGCGCATCGACGGCTCATGCGTGGCGCGCGGGGGGATTGCGGTGGCGGCGGGCGGGGCGCGGTGGGGCGGGAGAAGAGGGCGCGAGATGGGCGTGCGGGCGTGGGCGAAATGGAGCGAAGGGAGGCGAAGGGAGGCGAAGGGAGGCGAAGGGAAGCGAAGGGAGGCGAAGGGAGACGAAAGGAAGCGAGGTAAAGGCGGAAGCAGCTACTGTTAGCAGGGTGCCAGCTGTAGATGATGCGTGCGCGAGCTAAGCTACGGCAGACGGCGTGGGGTGTGCGTGGCGGAGGCGATGGGTATCGATGCGGGGGGGGGGGGTAGAAAATTTTGAAAAGAATGTGCCGATCTTGCTCTCTTGTGTGAATTGGTGTTGGTCATCGCCCCCGCTGTCTTCGTCATTTTCGTTCTTGGTTTGGCTTTCGTTCTTGCTGTGGGTCTTGCTGCTGTCTCTGTCTTTGGTCTTGGGCTTCGTTTCCGCTCCTGCTACCGCCGTCGTCGTCGATCTCGTATTTGGATTTTCTTCGCTCACG